CCCTCTGGGCACCCCCCCCCCCGGGCATCCCTCCCAGGCACCCCTCTACTCCATGCCTCTCCTGGGCGCTCCTGACCCATTCCAGTCCCGGGGGACCCTCCCCTGCGCCTTGGTGTGGACCCGGCTGGACCTGCTGCCCGCATTGCTCCTGCAAACTCAGGAGGGCCTCGGGGGGCCTGCGGTCCCCTTTCCAAGAACTAGGGGTTCCCTGCCTGCCGGAGGGGCCGAGTCTGGGGCTCCCCCAGCAGCACACGCTGGCATTTCCTGCCTCCCCCTCCTCCCCCGCCTGCCAGGCAGAGGCCGGAAGGGCGCCGGTGGGGGTTCCCCGGCTTCCTGCTGCGGGTCCTGGGGTCCCGGGGGTCCAGGGCCGTGCTGGGGGGCCTGTGCAGCTCAGGAACGGGGTCCGGTGGGGCACCCCCTCCCCGGGGCCTGCGGGCCGCCTGGTGGGCAGCTCCCGCGGTGGGGGGGCTCTGCTGCAGACGCCCATCGCGGGCACTCGCCACCTCCGAGCGGCCGTGCGGCGTCCCCAGGAGGACACTGCACTCCAGCTTAGAGTGTGACCTTCGCCCTCCCCCTCCCCCTCTCCCCGGCCCGCCCGGCGCTGCCCGAGCTGCCGAGCCGGCCACCGCCTCCCTCTGCTTCTCGGCTCCCGCTCTGGCCTCCGGTAATTTGCATTTCAGAGTCAGTTTTGTGGCCTCGACTACTCCTTGTGCCAGGAGATCTGCCTGCCGCCTCTTCCAGGCTGCCTTCCCGGACTGACCCGGCCGCTCTGCGAGGCCCCTTCGCTGGCCCGGCTGCCAGGGCTTCCCTTCGTGTGGACAGGGCCTGTCTCTCCCCGGAGGCCCTCCCCCGAGTCCCACAGAAGCTGCTGGTCTCAGGGAGGCAGGCGGGGTGCACGGGGTGAGGGGCTGGGGTTTGGGGCCCGGTGAGGCCGGGTGCTGAGGTCCCAGAGGTGGCTGGGGTTTGTCCTCCGTCAGGCCCCGTGTGTGCGCCGCTCGGTGGTGGGTGGGCCAGGGCTCTGAGCCGGGGCTCCTTGGGCATGAGCGGAGCGAGGATCAGATAAGCTGTGGTGACGAGGCCCTGAGTCCCCAGCAGGACTTTCCAGAAGAACCTTATCACCTCATCTGCCGCTCCTCGGTGGGTGGGGACCGCCGGAGGGGGGGGGAGGCGGGCCGGGCTCCAGGGGGGCAGGGCCTGCCCCGGGGCTGCTGGGGCACTTGGCCTTTTCTTCCTGACATTCCTTTCCTGGCCCGAGTGTGTCTGCAGAAGATTCCAGAACACACACCCGGCCATTGTCACCCGGCCTCCCAGCGTGTCTGTGGCCGTGTGTAAACAGGAAGGCCACGTGGGGCCGGGGCAGCCATCCTGCACGCAGGCACGTGGGCCCGGGGCTAACAGGCTGCTCGGGGTTATGGCTGTATCCGTGGCCCTGGGGCGCACAGGATGGAGCGCACAGGACGGGGGCGCACAGGACGGGGGCGCACAGGACGGGGGCGCACAGGACGGGGGCGCACAGGACAGGGGCGCGCCTGAGGAGTCAGGCCCCTCCCGTGGGGACCGACAGAGGCCAGGGCTCCTTCCCGTGTCTCCCTCCTCCCGGGGCCCCTCCTGCGCGCTCCTCTCCCCCCACTTCCCCTCCCACTCACTGGTCCCTCCTCAGGGCTCTGGGCTGGTGCTGTGGTGCCTGGGGGCTGGGGGAGCTTGGGGGTGCAGCCTGGCAGCCTCCTCCCCCCTCCCTCCTTCCTTCCGGCCAAGCTTTCTCCGGGTCTCCCTCCCCTTCCTGCCGGAGCAGCAAACAAACAAGACGCAGCTCAGGCCCAGCCTCTCAGCCGCATGTCCCTGCAGACGTGTGTCCTGCAGACGTGTGTCCTGCAGACGTGTGTCCCTGCAGACGTGTGTCCCTGCAGACGTGTGTCCCTGCAGACGTGTGTCCCTGCAGACGTGCGTCCTGCAGACGTGTGTCCCTGCAGACGTGCGTCCTGCAGACGTGTGTCCCTGCAGACGTGTGTCCCTGCAGACGTGTGTCCCTGCAGACGTGTGTCCCTGCAGACGTGCGTCCTGCAGACGTGTGTCCCTGCAGACGTGTGTCCTGCAGACGTGTGTCCCTGCAGACGTGTGTCCTGCAGACGTGTGTCCCTGCAGACGTGTGTCCCTGCAGACGTGTGTCCTGCAGACGTGTGTCCTGCAGACGTGTGTCCTGCAGACGTGTGTCCCTGCAGACGTGTGTCCTGCAGACGTGTGTCCCTGCAGACGTGCGTCCTGCAGACGTGCGTCCTGCAGACGTGCGTCCTGCAGACGTGTGTCCTGCAGACGTGTGTCCCTGCAGATGTGTGTCCTGCAGACGTGTGTCCCTGCAGACGTGCGTCCTGCAGACGTGTATCCCTGCAGACGTGCGTCCTGCAGACGTGTGTCCCTGCAGACGTGTGTCCTGCAGACGTGTGTCCCTGCAGACGTGTGTCCTGCAGACGTGTGTCCCTGCAGACGTGTGTCCTGCAGACGTGTGTCCCTGCAGACGTGTGCGGCCAGCAGCCCTGGTCAGGGCCCTCCGTCCCCGCCCCGACGCCCTGCGGAGGGCGGAGAGAGGGGGCAGCTGCGAGAATCCGGGTGCCCTCGCCCTCTTGGCCTCTCAGTCACAGGCTGGGAGGGAGGATGGGCATCTCTCTCGGGGCAGCCAGGCCCACTGGCTTCTGGGATTGGGCACCCCCCCAGGCTTTCCGCAGACCCCCCAGTGGTCGCCTCTGCCCCAGCGTGGGCTCTGGTGATGTTGGCAGCATACATCTTCCCTCTCTCCCACCCGGACGGCAGCGGCCGGCCCGGCCCTGGTCACCCTTCGGCCTCTGCAGAGCGCCTGCCTGTGCGCCGGCGGAGATGCAGCAGGCGGGGCGGGCACTCCGGGTCCCCGCAGCGGCCTGTGGGCTGGGACGTGCCTCCAGCGCCTCAGCTCCTTGCCTGTCAGGGGAGGTCAGGGCTGTGCAGGAGCTTCAAGGTCACGTGCCGGCTGCGGGGTCCACGCCAGGCCAGGGAGCGATGGCCAGCAGGCGGCCGCGTGCTCCCCTGCCATCGCGGGCTTCCTCACCTTGTGCCCGTTCAGGGGCCTCCTCCCAGGCCTGTGCCCGGCGAGGGCTCCGCAGGCAGAGCGCCCCTCGCTGTGCAGGCAGGTGCCCGCAGGCCCGCCGGCGGGAAAGGGGGCTTCTGGGAGGGGAAGCGAGAGGAAGTGCTGGCAGCGGGGCTGCGGGGTGGACACTGGCAGCTGACGGGGAGGACGGCCAGGCGGGGCCGCTGAACCTCTGGTCCCCGCAGGACCACCCGCTCGAGGTGCCCGCGCCGCCCGACGGAGGGCCGGGCCTGGCCGGCGCGGACCGGGGCGGGTTGGGGGTGGCGTCCCTCGGCGGCCGGTGGGGAGGGGAGGGCGTGGGGAGGAGGCGTGTGCGGTTCCCCTCGCTCTGGGCCGTGACGCTCTGAGCCTCGGGGAGTCGGAGCTGTCCGGGTGTGGAGGGCTGCCTGGCTGTTGGGGGCGGACGAGCTGGGGGGGTGCCCTGCCGGGGGTGCGGGGGCCGGACTCCCCATAGTGCCGTGGCCTCTGGGCTGCTCAGAAGTGTGGGCGCTGCCCCTGCCGGGTGTGGAAGGCTGAGGCCCGGGAGGGGCGTGGCAGGCCCGGACACCCTGCGGCTCCAGCGGCTCCTGCTCAGGCCCCGGGCGGGCGGGCGGGCGGGGTGCCCCCCTGAGCGCCGGCCGGATCTCCTGCTGCCCAGCCCTCGGGGTGGGGTGAGGGGGTTGGGTGGGAGGCTGACCCGGCGCTGGTTGGGAGTTGAAATCTCTGAGGTGGAAGGCGGGTGCGACGGCCCTGCCTCTCCCGGTCCCTGCGGCGCCCGACGCCAGGCCTGGCACCCAGCTGGGCCCCTAGAGTGCCACCCGCGGCCCTGAGTCCCGTCCTGCTGGTCTGTGCGGCCGGAGCAGGCCCAGGCCGTGGGCTGGGGAGCAGCTGGCCCTGGCGCTGGCCGTTCGCGGCCAAGGCAGGTGTAGAACACAGGACCCCCTCCCCCTGTGAAATGGGGTGATGGCAGCCCCCCTCCCCCAGCCCCCCGCCTCCGCCTCCCTCCAGGCATTGGTCTGCCCTGGGCAGGGTGCTGGTTCTGCCCCCCAGGGGGCTGTCTCCACAGGACAGCCTGCAGTTAGGCCCCTGAGTACGTGGGAGGGGCTGGCTCTCCAGCTCCCAGGCATGCTGGGGGACAGGCCTGGGCGGTGAGGGTTCGAGTGGCAGTCGTTGCCTCCTTGCTGGACAGGGACCGGAGCGTCCTGCCGGCTGCCAGCTTCTCGTCCTGCATCTGCCCGGGGCCCTGAGGCTGAAGGCCGAGCCAGGCCGGGTGGTGCGGTGGAGGGAGCCATCCCTCCGCCTGACCGCCTGGTTGTTGGGGATTGGGGGGGGTGTGTGAGCCGGGGGGGGGCGGGGGATGGAGCCCGTGTCGTTGGGGATGGGGGGTGAGCCGGGGTGGGGGATGGAGCCGTGTCGTTGGTGGGGGGTGAGCCGAGGGGGGTTGGAGCCTGTGTCGTTGGGGATGGGGGGGGTGAGCTGGGGGCGGGGATGGAGCCGTGTCGTTGGGGATGGGGGGGTGAGCTGGGGGCGGGGATGGAGCCGTGTCGTTGGGGATGGGGGGGGGTGAGCCGGATGTGGGGATGGAGCCGTGTCGTTGGTGGGGGGTGAGCCGAGGGGGGATGGAGCCGTGTCGTTGGGGATGGAGGGGGTGAGCCGGGATGGGGGGATGGAGCCGTGTCGTTGGGGATGGAGGGGGTGAGCCGGGGGCGGGGATGGAGCCGTGTCGTTGGGGGGGGTGAGCCGGGGGGGGTTGGAGCCTGTGTCGTTGGGGATGGGGGGGTGAGCTGGGGGCGGGGATGGAGCCGTGTCGTTGGGGATGGGGAGGGGGGGTGAGCCGGGGTGGGGGTGGAGCCGGCTGGCTCTCCTGGTCCCGGCCGGTGCTGACCGCCCCGTCTTCTGTCCGCAGACTTCTCCACCCAGGTGAACTCCTCCCCGCTCAGCTCGCCCACGGGCCGGGGCCCCATGGCGGCCCCCTCGCTGCACCCCTCGCTGGGGCCCGGCCTGGGCGCGCCGCTCGGCTCCCCCGGACAGCTGCACTCGCCCATCAACGGCATGGGCCCCCCCTTCTCCGTCATCAGCTCCCCCATGGGCCCCTCCATGTCCGTGCCCACCACGCCCACCCTGGGCTTCGGCACCGGCAGCCCGCAGGTAAGTGGGCCGGGGGTGGGGTGGGGGGGCGGGGCCCTGCGGGACCTCCGTGGCAGCCCGTGGCCGGGGCAGCGGTCATGGCCCCTCATCTCTGGGAAGCCGAGCCTGGAGAGGCGGCCTCGGCCTGGGTTCGAGCCTGGGTCTGGGTGAGCCCGTGGCCCTCAGAGGTCACCACTCCAGCCTGGCCCCTCCCGTCCGGCACGCTGCTTGCGTGGCTCGGCGCTCTGCAGGGGGAATCCGTGCTCAGGCTGCAGCCCCGGGGCCACGTCCTCTCAGGGCCCCTCCTGGCCTGTCCTTCCCTCCGTCTGCTCCCCCGGCCCTGAGGCCGCAGTGCTCCCGCCCAGACCCGGGCAGACACGTGCCTGCTGGGGCGCGGGCTCGGGCCCGCCTGGCGCCGCTCACGGCCCGGCTGGGGCTGTCTGGCCAGGCCGGTGGAGAAGCCGGCCGGCTGTCCCGAGCGACCCTGTCTCCCCTCCGCACCGGGCTGGGGTCACGCAGGGCTCTGGCCCTGGCCGCCCAGAAGCTCAGGGGCCGAGGGGCGGAAGGGCACAGCCACTTTCCTGGCTGCTCTGCGTGTAGCTGCCGCCCCTTTCTTGCTGGCTGCGGGCACACCGAAGGGCAGCCAAGATGGCAGCGGGCAGTGCAAGCTGACGCCCTAGGGCCCTGCCAGCTTGGTGCTCGCAGACCTGCCGCCCGGCCTGGCACCCCGGGCTGTGTGCGAGGAGCGGGGCCTGCGGTGCCCGGAGCCCCTACCCAGGTCTGCCGTGGCGAGGGCCTCCGGCGATCGGAAGGGCGGGTGCGGGAGAGCGGAGGGCGAGCAGGGCCGGCGTTGGCAGGCTGTTGGAGTAAGGCCCGTCGTCCGGCGGGAACTGAAATGAGGGCCGAGGATCTGAAAGGGGAAACGGGGACCACGCCCTGGCTGCTCGGGAGTCTTCAGCTCCGGCCCCGGAGGCGGGTGGAGGGGATGAGGGGCTTCGGGCTGCGGGAGCCACGGCCCAGCCCGAGGCCTGGCAGCGTGGCCCCCAGAAGGGGCAGGAGGACCGCGGGCCGAGGGCCTGCTGTGGCCGGTGGGCCTGTCCGCATGGAGGGAAAAGGCAGGACGGGCCCGGCCGTTGGCTTCGGCGGTTCAGCACCGACCTATGAACCACAGGCCAGGGTTCGATTCCGGGCCGGGCACAGGCCCGGGTGGCGGGCTCCATCTCCATGGGGGTGTGCAGGAGCAGCTGATCAGTGATTTTCTCTCATCATGGATGTTTCCCTCACTCTTCCTTCTTTAAAATCAATTAAAAAATACATACATATATATATATATATATATATATATAGAGAGAGAGAGAGAGAGAGAGAGAGAGAGAGAGAGAGAGAGGGAGAAGGAAGGGGAGTGTGCGGGCAAAGTGGGTGGCCCAGCCCCGCTGGCTCAGTTGGATGTCATCCTGTGCACCTCAGGGTTGCCAGTTCGATGCCTGGGTGGGCACATGCCTGGGTGGGCACCTGGCTGGGTGGCAGGTTCGATCCCAGTCAGGGCACCGGTGGAAGGCCCTGGTCTGTGGCCTCTCACATTGGTGTTTCCCTCCCTCCCTCCCTGGGGCCTGCGGAGGGGCTCCAGCCCCGCCCCCCCCCCCCCCACACACACACACGGGCAGGGCCTCCAAGGCTCCCAGCTCCCGCCGACTCCGTGCCCGGGGGACGCGGAGCCGGGAGGGCAGGGACCTGTCACCCGCAGCCTGGGAGTCACTGACCGAGACACACCTCCCCGGCCATCCTGTCTGCTGGGACCCGGCCAGCCTTCCTTCCAGCCCTGCCTCAGTTTACCTACAGCAGGCCCGTCCACGGACCTGCACGTGGGGGGCCGGGAGACAGGGCAGGCGCCCCTTCCACCTAGCACGGGCTGCAGACACGGGAGGGGAACCTTCACTCCTGTCCCCCGGGCCGCCAGCTGACACGGCCGCGGGCAGTGGGGCGGTCCCCCCTCGGGGAGGCTGCAGCCGGGAGGGGTCCCCTCACAGCCTCGGGGCCCACAGCTGGCCCGGCAGGGCTGTCCCCCCCTCAGATGTTTGGCCGCAGCCCCTCCCGGTGCCAGGCCAGCTGGCGGCCTCCCCTCTGGGAGATGGGAGTGGGGGTGCCGGACGCCTTAGCCGGTCTGTCCCGCCAGCGGCCCGCAGCCAGGCCCCTGCGCTCGGACTGGTGCTCAGAGGCTGACCTTCCGGTCCCCGCGGAGGCGGCAGGACGGGGGATAAGCTGCGTCCCGTGCCTGCACCTGCGGCCAGCTGTGCGGGTGCCCGGTGGGGTCACTGTGGGCTCCTCTGCAGCCCGTGGGGTACACCGGGGGGTGGGGCGTTTCCCGTCGGTTCCCACGCCCTGAGACCAGCCGGCACAGCCTGGGCGCAGCACGTGGCATGGGGGCGCCTTCTCTCAGCTGTGGTCCCCTCATCGGGCCGCACCCTGCCTCCTGCGGTCAGCACCGGCCATGCCGGCCGCCCCGCTCTGCGGTGGGGCCCCGGGATGCCGGCCCCGGGGGCTGGCTCTGCCGCCCGCAGCCCACCGTCCTCACAGCACCCAGCCCACTGGGCAGAGGAGGGCCGGGCCGGGGGGGGGGGGCATGCGTGTCCCTGAGCACCGTGCTCTTCCGGCCCCGTGAGAGGGGGGTGGGATGGGGGCAGGGAAGGAAGAGGGTGAGGTTCCTGTGTGGGGAGGCGCCGGGCTACCAGGGGGCAGCAGCTGCGGCCGCCGTCCCCGGTTCCCGCCTCGGCCGGGGGTTTGCAGAAGTGGGCGCTGGGGGCCGCCCGGCCGGGGTCCCGGCGCCCGGGGGGCGGGCGGGCGGGTTGCGGGTGCAGCGGGCAGCACTGTGGGACCTTCGGTGCCGGCGCGAGAGCCGGGCAGACGCAGCGGAACCAAAACTGCTGTGTCATTGCAGCCCGGCAGCTGTTGCCAGGGTGACGGGTGAGTTTCCCACGCTTCCTCCGCGGCAGGCGGCCTGCAGGGCGCAGGGCGCGGGGAGAGGCAGGGCGCCCCTCGCCGTCCCCCTCCCCTGGCACAGGCGATCGAGACCCCCCTGCCCCCGAGGCCGGGCATGTGGCCGCTGGGCGGACCCCAGCTCTCCTCCCTCCGCGCGGTGGCCGGGCCTCGGTGCCCCGCTGTGTGTAGGGGAGCCCCGAAGTGCCCGGCTCACCGGGACAGGCATGGGGCTCACACCGTCCGGCCGAGGGAGTGCCCAGTAAGGGAGGGGCCGTAGGCAGGCAGGGCCGGGGCCGGCTCGCTCTGAAGCTCCCCGGGGCTCACCCTCTGCTCCCTGGCTGTGGCCTGGGGGGGGCAGAGCCCCCGGAGCCCCGGTTTCTTTCTGTAAAGGGGGGGTGCGGCGGGCGCTACGGCGTGTGCCCTGGGCTCCCGGCACCGCCAGGCTGAGCCCGTACCCCCCCCCCCCCCCCCCCCCCCCGCAGCTCAGCTCGCCCATGAACCCCGTCAGCAGCTCCGAGGACATCAAGCCCCCGCTGGGCCTCAATGGCGTCCTCAAGGTCCCGGCCCACCCCTCAGGGAACATGGCGTCCTTCACCAAGCACATCTGCGCCATCTGCGGGGACCGCTCCTCAGGTAGGCGGGGGCGGGGGCGGGGGCTGGGCCGGCCAGCGTGAGGGTGCTCGGGCTCCGGGCCTCTCACACGGACCTTCTCGGGTTTCCGGTCCGTGGACGGTCCGTGGGCGGCCAGGCTGGCCCAGGGGCCCAGAGAGGAGGCAGCAGCTGGCGGTGACGCCGGCACAGGAGCGGCAGTGCAGGCTGGGCCCCGGTGCGGGGCAGGCGCTCACGGCCCCGCCGCCCGCCCGCCCGCCCAGGCAAGCACTACGGCGTGTACAGCTGCGAGGGCTGCAAAGGCTTCTTCAAGAGGACGGTGCGGAAGGACCTGACCTACACCTGCCGGGACAACAAGGACTGCCTCATCGACAAGCGCCAGCGCAACCGCTGCCAGTACTGCCGCTACCAGAAGTGCCTGGCCATGGGCATGAAGCGGGAAGGTAGGCGCAGGCTTCTGCGTGCACACCTCCGCCACGGGCGCTCGCTCCCCGCGGGGCCGCGCTGCGGGCAGCGTGTCCCGGGCCGATCCCGCCCCCCAGACCCTCCTGAGCGCCAGCTGTACGCCAGGCCCCGCACCCCAGGAGGGCGGCCTCGGCCCCGCACCCGGGTGGCGCCCAGCACCTGGGGGCAGCTCCTGCTCAGACCCTCTCCGAGGGCGCAGTGCCCAGGGCCCAGCGCGGGCTCTGGGGAGGCGGGCAGGGGCAGAGGACAGTGAGGGCCATGCTGGAGGTGGGCGGGAAGGGACGGAGGCTGGCGCGGGAGTGTGGGTGCACGCAGGTGGCCAGGGCGGGGCCAGCAGTAGCACGGAGGGCCACGCCTCCGAAGTCACTGAAACTGTCCGGAGGTGCAGCCAGCCCTGCTCTGGGCCCTCAGGCCTGGCCTGCAGAGTGGCCTCCCCCTCGCTCCTGGCTGTCCGTGGCCTCAGTTTCCCCTTCGGGAGGTTTGATGACCCCTGCCCTCAGAGGGTGGGCCCCTGGGGGTGGGGTCTCGCCGCCTGTTCCCTTCTTCACGGCGGCTGTTCCGTGGCCCAGGCGTGGCCGGCCTGCGCCCAGCTCCTTCCTGCCGCCTCCTGACTGCCCTCTGGTGGCAGCTGCGGTCCTTACCAGTTTCTTCCTTGCTTGTTTTTGTTTCGGCTCCTCCTCGGCTTCAGTTGTTCTCACTAGAAACTGCAGCCTCAGCGGGCAGTGGTGTCCTGCAGGGCCCTCCCCAAGGCTGCCGGCGTGGGGGGCACGGTGAAGCGGGCGGGGCTTTGGTGACCGACTGGTGTGTGGGGGCTCGTGCCGGCTCCGGTGGCCAAGGCAGGGGAGCTCAGGGCTCCGGGGCTGAGCTGGGGGCCGCCTGGGGCCGTGCCAGTGGGGGAACAGAGGCCCAGGAGGCCAGGGCTGGTCCGAGCGCGTGCGGGCTGCGTCGGCTCCGGCTCCCTCGAGACTGATCCCTAAAGGCCCCTGGGGAGGCGTGTGCCCCCGATGGCCCTGGGCGCCCGGTGCAGTCAGGGAGGACTTGCTGGAGGTGGCGGGACCCGGCCCGGGTTGAGCGGAGGTGGGCAGTGGATTGGGTTGGAGCCCGGCCAGAGTGCTGGGCTCCAGTGCGCCAGGGGGAGGTGGGCACCCTGGTATGAGCCCGAGGCCGCGGCACAGAGCAGGCTGGGAGCGTGGCCGAGGTCTCTGATGCACTGAGCCACCACGCCCGGCGCCGGACACCACGATGGCGCTGGGCACACAGTGAGCTGGGGGTGTCCTCGTGGGAAGTGGGCGTCACACAGCCACACAGGGAGGCACTGCCCGGGCTCAGGCGTCGGAAGGCTCGGTGGGAGGTGGCCAGGCCACTGACTGAAAAAGGGGGTCAGGCAGGCCGCGCCCGCCCAAGGGGCCGGAGTGTGAGAGGCCGGGGGTGTCGGAGATGTGGCACAGGGCAGGGCAGGGCGCCATCCTGGGCCCCAGAGGGTGCCCTCCACTGGTCCCTGGGCCAGCTCAGGTTGGTCCCCGGGCCGTGCTCAGGCTGAGCTCCGGGCATGCCCTCGGAGCCTGACGTAGGGGTCGGCATTGCCTGACCCCCCAGCCAGTGCTCCCGGCTCCCTCCCGTGTCTGTCACCGTCCATGGCCCTCCTCGGAGAGTGACGCGTGGCCCCGTGGCCTCAGGGCCGCCCTGCAGGCTGCTCCCGGGTCTCCCAGATGAGGGGCCTAGAGGGGCCAGGAGGCACGCCCCCCATCTGTCCTGCACCCCGAGCTGGACGCTAGGACGGCCCAGCCCCTGGAAGTGTCCTGACACAGCTCTCTCCTCTGCGGGGTGGGGGCTCCCGGTCTGAGGGGGAGGCGGGCCGGGCGGGAGCTCCCGGTCTGAGGGAGAGGCGGGCCTCTGCTGCTTCCTTCCTCCCGACCTCACTTCCTGTACCCCATCTCCGGACTCTGAGGGACCGGGGTGCAGAGGGGGCAGTGTCTGGTGTGTGTGCGCACACATGCACACGCATGTACGTGTGTGTGCACGCACAGGCATACGTGGCCCCACGTTTCTCCTGAGGAGGAAGAGCCGGCTGGGTCAGGTGACTGCTCCTCTGGCCTCAGGGTGCCTGCGGGCAGTGAGGCATAGGCAGGTGGCAGCACGGTGCCTGGGGGGGCTGTGTGTGTGTGTGTGGTGTGCATGTGTGTGCCCTGTATATGCACATGTCACGTGTGTGCCCTCTGTGTGCACATGGTGACTCAGGTGCAGACTGTGTCCTGGGTCATGTCCCTTAGCGGAGGACGGCCAGTCCCCGGGCTTAGGACCTGGATTCGCTGTGCGCCTCGGCCAGCGCCCCCGGAGTCCAGTGCCGGCCTCAGGAGGGGGTGGGCAGAGCCTTTGGCGATCCAGTCCTGCTTCCCGGGGTCACGTAAGGTCAGGATGGTGCCCGCTGGCGGTGCCCACAGCAGAGGAGGCAGCAGGGCCGGCACCTGCCAGCCCGGATGCCCCTTCCCACGTGCTCGCCCTCACGTCAGCGGGTCTCTGATGTTGGTGACCCTGGTGTGTTGGGGTGAGCGCCCCCGGCTGTGTTGGCTGCTGGGGAGGGTCTTCCCGGGACCCCAGCCTCCTCCGTCCGCTGTGCTCAGCCCCATCTTCCTGACGCCTCCCCTGAAGCTCCTGGCGCCGGCGGGAGCCAGTCCAGCAGGACCCGCCGGGGGACGCCTGGGGCCGCCTCACAGGGACCGGCCGGCAGCCCTCCTGCCCCTGCGTCTTGGCCCCTCTCCCGGGAGGCCCCCTCGCCCTCTCCTGCTGGGGTGGCTGCTCCTGGGCGGGGCCGGGCCGGGCGCGTGGGGGCCCCGGGGAGCCGGTGCGAGGGCTCTCCGTCTCAGCCGTGCAGGAGGAGCGGCAGCGGGGCAAGGACCGCAGCGAGAGCGAGGTGGAGTCCACTAGCAGCGCCAACGAGGACATGCCGGTGGAGAAGATTCTGGAGGCCGAGCTGGCCGTGGAGCCCAAGACGGAGACGTACGTGGAGGCCACCATGGGGCTGAACCCCAGCTCGGTGAGTGCCGCCGCCGCCGCTGCCTCCCGGGACCGCGGGCCGGCCAGCGCCCGGCGAGGACCGTCACCCGGCCGCCGGGGCAGAGCAGCCGGGCCCCGGGCGGGCCTTTCCGATTCCTGCCATCAGAGCTGGACTCTGCCCCTCCCCTTCATGCTTCCCGTGGTCCCCGGCCCGTGGTCCAGCGGGTGACGGGGCCCCGCATCGGCCCAGGACCCGGGCAGCGTTACGTCCTGATTTCACCCGTGTCCCCGTGGGCGCAGGGCTGGGACCAGGCTCAGGGCTGACCCTGCGGCCGCCCAGCCCACCCTGACCCTTCTCCCCCGGCTCCGTGGCCAGACACGTCTGCTGGTCCGCCCACCCGCCCCAGGGCCTTTGCACACGCTGCCCAGCCGACTCCTCAGGCTCCCGTCTCAGCTTCGGGGCCACTTTCTTCGTTAGGTGGGCTGGGCCCCGGTCTCTCCGCATGCCCCTGGCGCTGGTGAGGGCGGGGCGTGTGTGCATGCGTGTGCATGTTTGTGCGTGCGTGTGTGCATGCGCGCGTGTGTGTGCGCGCGTGTGTGTGTGTGTGTGTGTGTGCGCGCGCGCGCGCGCGCGTGTGTGCATGTGTGCGAATCCTCCCTCGTCGCCACGAGGCTGGGGCGCACCGAGCCGCTCCTCACTGCCCACCTTCGGTCAGACACAGGACACCTCCGTGTGGCGGGTGCGCACCCGTGACCCTCTGCCCCAGTCCGAGAGGGTGGGGTCCCCTCTTCCCTGCTCAGGGGGCTCCGGCAGGCTGAGGCCCCAGCTCCCTGCACTCCGTGACCCCATGACCCCAGACAGCGTGGCCTGGCGTGTGGCCGGCCCGTCCCGGCCCGTCTCTCCCGTCCAGTGGGGGAGGCAGCAGAAGCTCCACAAGCAGCCGGAACCCCGGGCGGGCGGGCGAGCGGGCGAGCGGGCGGCAGCGCTAGTTCTGCCGAGTGAGGGCGCTGTTCAGAGACAACGACTGGCACCTGGTCTCCCCCGTTTTGGAGGAAGGGGCCGAGGCGCAGGTGGGCAGCTGGCGCAGCGCAGGGCGGCCGGCAGGGGGCGCCGGCGTTCCGTGGCCTCTGCGAGGTCCTCGCCTCCCAGGACCGGAAGGCCGCCCCTGGGGTGCGGGAGCTTGTGGAGCCGGGGCCGTTGAGGTGGTTCGGTGGGAACGGGGGCTCAGAGACGATGGGGGTTTGCTGGCGGCCACACAGCCGCATGGAGCTGGGCCCCCGCAGCCCCGCCCAGAGGGGGCCCCTGCAGGGCCCCCATCTCAGAACCCTGCCCTCGGCCACGTGCGCGAGGGCGCTTCGGCTGCGCCGGGCCGGGCCTCGGCGCGGCGTCCGCGGGGGCGTCCGCGGCCGCTGCCCGCCTCTCACTGGGTGCCCCCCCCCAGCCCAACGACCCCGTCACCAACATCTGCCAGGCGGCCGACAAGCAGCTCTTCACGCTGGTGGAGTGGGCCAAGCGGGTCCCGCGCTTCTCCGAGCTGCCGCTGGACGACCAGGTCATCCTGCTGCGGGCCGGTGAGTGCGCCGCGGGCCGTCCGGGACGGCCGCAGGGGCCCGTGATGGCAGCGGGGCCGGGCTGCGGCTGTGGCCGGCACCGCTCCGAGGGGCTGCTGTCCGCGGGGCCGGGCTGCGGCTGTGGCCGGCACCGCTCCGAGGGGCTGCTGTCCCGGGGCGGGAGGCCGGAGGCAGCACAGAAAGGCTTTAGCTTTCTTCCCGGGCGGCCCCCTGACACCCCCCCCCCGCGGCCTGCCCTGGTCCCCGCACAGCGAGAGCGCCTGCTTCAGGCCCATGTGTGCTGTGGGGCCACGGAGCACAGAGTGAGCCCTGAGGGTGGCTGTTGGGCCAGGCTGGCGGCTGCTGTTCCGTGGCAATTCCGTGGCTGCACAGAGAAAACGATGGGAGCGCTCCCAGGTGCTCTGTGGCACGAGCTGTTCCGTGGCCGTCCCAGAGAGGATTGTGGGAGCGCTCCCAGGTGCCCCGTGGCCATCCCGGAGAGGATTGTGGGAGTGCTCCCAGGTGCTCTGTGGCCGTCCCAGAGAGGATTGTGGGAGTGCTCCCAAGTGCCCCGTGGCCGTCCCAGAGAGGATTGTGGGAGTGCTCCCAGGTGCTCTGTGGCCGTCCCAGAGAGGATTGTGGGAGTGCTCCCAGGTGCTCTGTGGCCGTTCCAGAGAGGATTGTGGGAGTGCTCCCAGGTGCTCTGTGGCCGTTCCAGAGAGGATTCTGGGAGTGCTCCCAGGTGCTCTGTGGCCGTCCCAGAGAGGATTGTGGGAGTGCTCCCAGGTGCTCTGTGGCCGTTCCAGAGAGGATTGTGGGAGTGCTCCCAGGTGCCCCGTGGCCATCCCAGAGAGGATTGTGGGAGTGCTCCCAGGTGCTCTGTGGCCGTCCCAGAGAGGATTGTGGGAGTGCTCCCAGGTGCTCTGTGGCCGTGCCAGAGAGGACCTGCCAGGGCCTTTCCTGCACCCACGTGCACTGGGGAAGAAAGCCATTCCCAAACGCAGGTGCTCGGGAACCTCTTTCCAGGGGAGCGTTCCTGGGGTTAGGGTTCCACGTAGCCCACTCTGGGAACCCCAGCCTGGTCCCGGGGGTCTGGGACGGGGGCGCGCGCTCCCGGGGGGGCGGGGTCTGGGATGGTGGCGCGCGGTCCCGGGGGGGGGTCTGGGACGGGGGCGCGCTGCCTCTGGGCGGGCTCCGGCCCGGAGCGTGACGGGTCGCCCCCCCCCCCCCCCAGGCTGGAACGAGCTGCTCATCGCCTCCTTCTCGCACCGCTCCATCGCCGTCAAGGACGGGATCCTGCTGGCCACGGGGCTGCACGTGCACCGGAACAGCGCGCACAGCGCGGGCGTGGGCGCCATCTTCGACAGGTGGGCGGCCGGCCGCGGCACGCGCGTGGCACTGCGTGGCGCTCCTCTGTCCACGGGGCTGGGGCTGGGGGGGTGCGAGACGAAGGTTAGATCCCTCAGGACCGGCGTGGGGTCCTCACGCCCGGCTGGTGTCCACTCCCTCCCGCTCTGAGCGAGTGGGAGGAAGCTGCTCTTCAGAAATGCGCCTTCCGCTGGCTCCAGAGAGGGGGAGGGGGAGAGAAACCTCAGTGCCTCCTGCCCGCCCCACACTGGGCATGGAGCCCGCAACCCGGGCATGAGCCTGACCGGGAATCGCACCCTGATCTCCTGGTCCTGGGTCGACACTTGGCCCCTGAGCCACGCCGGCCGGGCCACAGCTGAGCTTTGTAACGAGTAGAAGTGGGTTACCCCGTGGGCTCGGTGTCCCTGGGCCCGAGTGCAGCATAGCCACGTGGGCCCTGAGACCAGCCGGCTGACCGGCTGACCGGCTCCTGGCCCCGGTGGAGCCTGGCCTGCCCCCGTCCACCCGGCCCCCCTCTGCAGCCCACCCCTGCCCACAAGGCGGGCCAGAGGCCACATGATGCCAGGACACGTTCTCTCCCCCTGCCCCTCCCTGGGTCTTTTCCCGCAGGGAAAGGCCTGGTTCCCTGGCTGTCCAGGCCCCACCTGGCCACCTGCCCCCCCCCCCCACACACACACGCACCACTTCCTGGCTCCGGGGCCAGGCTGGGCTGACGGGCGGGGAGCCAGGCCGTGTGGGCGGCGTAGCTCGTCCCCGGGTTCAGGACTCGCACTCGCAGGGCCCGGACCCGGGGCTGCCAGTTCTGCCCCGAGGGTCCGGCAGGCTCTGTCCGTGAGGCTGCTGGTGGCTCTGCCTGGGAGGAAGTGTCTGGTGAGGAGTGGACAGGCCCCGGGGAGGCAGGCCCACGGACGGCCATGCTTCCTGGCCTGTGGGTGTGGGTGGGCCGGCACCCCAGCACGTGCCTCAGGCTGCCCCGCCCGCCCCCCCCCCCGCCTCCCCCCCCCCCCCGCCTCCGCAGCTCGGGGTGGCCGTGGCCGGGTCCCGGCTCATCGTGGCTCGGCCCCACGGGGTCCTCAGTCTCCAGGTCCCAGAGTAAAGCCCGGTGAGACCCTCTCCGGGTGGAGCGGAGAGCCCGCCGGGGGAGGGACGGGCTGGTGTGGCGGATGCTGGGCCGGGCGTGGCAGCTGCAGGGTCGGCCTCGACCTTCTTGGCTGTCCTGTGGGCTGCATGGGCGTTTCTGGGGCAGCGTGGGCACGGTCTGATGTGGCCGTGGCGTTCGCCCGCCTCCTTGCAGGGTCCTGACGGAGCTGGTGTCCAAGATGCGAGACATGCACATGGACAAGACGGAGCTGGGCTGCCTGCGAGCCATTGTGCTCTTCAACCCGGGTACGCCGTGCGGACTGCCCGGCCACGGCACCCACGGCCACGGGCGCCCACAGCCACAGCACCGACGCCCACGGCCATAGCACTCACAGCCACAACACCCCCTGTTCTGCCACCCCCAGCCATGGCACACCCAACCACAGCACCCACCACCCTGCTGCTCCCCACCCCAGTGCCTCACATGGGGCTGGCCCGTGCGAGGGCCCCATGAGGTGGTGTCCATGGCTTCGGGGCTGAGGGCGGGAGCAGCCAGCCAGGTGTCCCTGGTGGCAGGCCTGTCCCGGGTCCCCTGCGCCAGCCGCCCGCCTTCGGTGCTGCTGAGCGCACGGTCCCGGGCAGCTTCGGGAGGGCTCTGACCTGCGGCCCTTCTTCCTCACAGACTCCAAGGGGCTCTCGAACCCGGCTGAGGTGGAGGCGCTGCGAGAGAAGGTGTACGCGTCCCTGGAGGCGTACTGCAAACACAAGTACCCGGAGCAGCCGGGGAGGTGAGCCGCGCGCCCGGCCTGATGGGCCTCGCGGCCTCGCGTCCGCCCGGGCCCGGGCCGGGCACCGCCGGGCACCGCTGTGTGACGGGCAGGCGCCCTCCGGGCCGAGGGCAGCCCGGGGAGCACCGTGCAGGGCAAACACGCTCACACCCCACAGACCCCGCGCACAGTGGGTGCTGTCTCTGTGGAGAGCGTTCAGGAGGCCGTGCTCCCCCCCCTGAGGGCCCCAGAGGCAGGGCGTGGCGCTCACCCTGGCAGGACGGACTCCAGCGCACAGTGGGTGCTTTGTAAACGCAGGCAGGGCAGGCAGGTGGGCTGGTCATTGCTGGGTCCGTGGTGCGGGCACGGCCGCTGTCTGTCAGGAGGAGGCGGGGCTCACTGTCTGGTCACACCCCGCCTTCCGAAGGCCACGCCGGGCACAGGCACGCCCCGCCCGCCGCCGGCGCGCACACGGTTAACGCGGCCGGCCATCTGGTTTGGTTTAGCGGAGCTTCCCGGACGGAGCGGCAGCCGCTTTCCTGGCGCCGCCGCCGCCAGCTCAGCACAGCGCCCTGGCCCCGCTCCAGCCTCGGCCGTTCGGCCGGGAAAGGCGGGCTGTGCGCGGCCCCGCGGGCAAGGCCCCGACCCGTCCTGCCTGTCCTGGGGCCGGGGGGACCGGCGGGCCGCACACGGAGGGCCTGCGTGTGGGTGCCCTGCAGGGACGCTGGGCCCGTTGGCTGCGCCTGATGTTCCTCCTCCTCCAAGTCCCCCCACCCCCACCCCCACCCCGGGGACGCAGGAGCTCCAGGCCGCACTGGGGGGCCGGCCGGGGGTGGGGGCGGGCCTTCCCAGCTCAGGACCAGCTCCTCCCCTCGGCCCCCCCCCCCCCCCCAGCGGCCTTGCTGCCCTCACTCTCCAGCTGCACACCCTCCCTGTGGGCGTCCCCCCCCTCGGAGGAAACCCCGTGGTTTGAATTCCCGCAGCCATAGCTGGCCGCCCCGGCCCGGCCACTGACCCTTCCTCCCAGGTCCCCATGCCCCCCCCCCCCCCTCCTGGCTCCGTGCCCTGTGGCTGTTTCCTCTGCCGAGGGCCCCGACCCCCGGAGCTCAGTGTGGGCGGCCTCCTGCGGGTCTGGGGATCCGGCCAGGGAGTCGGCCCTGTCCTGAGGCAGCCAGGCGCGCTGGGCGAGGGCGCGGGGCGGAGGGTGGAGGGCGGAGGGCGGAGGGCGGAGGGTGGAGGGCGGAGGGCGGAGGGCGGAGGGTGGAGGGCGGAGGGTGGAGGGCGGAGGGCGGAGGGTGGAGGGTGGAGGGCGGAGGGCGCGGGGCAGAGGGCAGAAGGCGGAGGGCGGGGGCGGACGGCAGAGGCGGAGGACGGAGGGCGGAGGGCGCGGGGCGGAGGGCAGGAACCCGGAGGCACTCATGCCCGCCGCCCGCAGGTTCGCCAAGCTGCTGCTGCGCCTGCCCGCCCTGCGGTCCATCGGCCTCAAGTGCCTGGAGCACCTGTTCTTCTTCAAGCTCATCGGCGACACGCCCATCGACACCTTCCTCATGGAGATGCTGGAGGCCCCGCACCAAATGGCTTAGCGGCGCCTGCTCTCGGCCGCGCCCGCCCCGCCCCGCCCGGGTGGGCTGCGGGCGGCCTGTCACTGCTAAGCCTAAGAGATGTGTTGCCACCCCACTCCTATGCTGCTTGTCTTTGGACCCGGCAGGGCACTGCTTTCCCGCGGCGGCCAGACGGCCGGACGCACGGCCGTCCCCCAGGCCCGTCCCTGGCGGGCGGGCGGGCGGGCGGCGCTCTGAGTTAGGAGTGCGGCCCCGCCCTCGATGGGGAGGGCGCAGGTAGGTGGGTTTTCCTGCAGAGGAAGAGGGGGGCCCTGGGCCGGCTCCTCCGTCCGTGAAGGGGGAGCACCCCTTTTCCAAAGATGACTTGGGGGTGCCTCAGCGCCACGCCAGGAGCTGCCCTCCGCGGGGTTTGGGTCCCCACGAGGCTGCAGGGACGAGGGTCGCCGCCCACCTGTCTGCTCTGCATCGTCCCAGCTCCGCCCCTGCCCCCCGGGGTCCCGCCTGCCCCGGGCGAACAGACCGGGCCTGTCTGCTCCATCCCAGGCCGTCCTGCAGTCTCGCAGTCCACGCGCTGCTGTCCGCCCTCTCCCGGGCAGAGTTTGGCCCAGGAGGCCCGCAGGGATGTGGGGGAGGAGGCTGCCCCCCAGGGGGTCTCCATCCTCTGTGGGCTCAGGAGCCGCAGGAGGGGCAGGTGGCGCCTGTTCGACCGCAAAGCTCAGCCAGGAGCCCGTGGGCACAGGCCCTCTGCACAGCTCAGCTCCACGCCCTGGGAGCAGCCCGGCTGGCCTGGGGGCGGCGCCCTGTGGGGGCGGCACCCTGTCAGCCCAGCACCCCTGCAGTGTCCGACCAGCCCAGTGGGTGGCGCTGGGGCCTGCGGGTGGGGCTTGTGGGTTGAACTGGCCTCAGGCACAGTCACCCTCTCCAGTCTGTGCTTCCCATCACACCACACCCCACAACCCAGCGCTGAGCAGTGGGGGCCGAGGAGGAGGGATGTGGGGGTCCTGCCTGCCCAGCCGGGGGTGTCTGTGATGGCAGTGTCCCTCCCGCCGGCCTCCCTCGGACACTGCCCACCCAAACCGTCCAGAGCTGCCTTCCCCGGGTCACCAGAGGGTGCAGGAGCCGGGCAGGGGCCGGGCAGGGGCCGGGTGGGCAGAGGGGCCTCGGGAACAGTCCATTCTCTGCCTCCCGGAGCCCCTCCCCGTGGGCACTGCCTTGTCCACTGTGAGGCGTGCCAGGCCCGGTGCCCTCTGCAGCCGGACGCACCCCATCGCCGTGCCCGCTCCCTCCTGCTCCCCTGGCCTCTTGGGGACCTGGGGGCTCCGGTGGGGGTCGGCTTCTTGGGGACGTCACGGTTACCGGCTGACACCCCACAGAGCCCGGGGGTCCCAGGCCACCACCTCCCTCAGGCGGAAGCCCTCTGGCCCCGGCCGCTTGGCCCCGCAGCCCTGCCCGCACCAGCGTCCCTGCAGCTGTGCTTCCTGCCTCCCCGCGGGCAGGAGATCGTGTGCAGTGCCTGCAGGTGCAGCCGTCCACAGTGGAGGCAGCTCGGTCACCCCGGCCTCCAGCTGTCACCGGCCTGGCTCAGTGCGGTGATGCTTGGTGATCGCTGTCCTGATGGGACAATCTTTAATTTTCTAAAGATGGTGAGACATCAGGGCCTTCGCCGCCCACTACCCCGTGGCCCCTGGATGCCTCCCGAGGCCCGACACACCCGTGTCCTGTGCGTGGAAGGTGTTGGCACAGCCGGCCCGCCCCAGCTCCCGGGGAGCAGCCTGCGGGACCCCTATTCACCCAGACGGCCCCTCGTCCAAGGCCGCCACCTGGAAGCAGGCCCCCGGGAGTCCCCCCAGGATGTGCGGAGAGCAGGCCGGGCCCCCTGCAGGGCCTGGCGGCCTGACTGGCTGAGCAGAGATGGGGTGACTGGCTGGTGGCGTCCCCATCACGGAACTGGGCGCGTGGCCTGGGCTGCCCGCTGGGACGGTGGCGGTGCCGTGTGTGCCCGAGAGCTGCCCGGAGTGGACACGTCCGCGGACACGGACACGCGTGGGGCCTGCGTTCCCGAAGATGCCCCGTCCGTTTGCTTCGCGTGAGCATGGCCGCCAGGACCCGCGGTGATGCCGTGAGCGGCTCCGGCCGGGACCGCATCTATTTTAAGATGCTTCGGCGCCGGCCGCGGCCGCCGTCCCTCGGCCAGGCCTTCGGGGCCGCCGCGGCCGCTTCGGGTGAAGCTGGAGGAAGCGAAGACGAGTGTCTGAGCAGCGGAAAGGAGAAAAAATCTATTTTTGTACAAATGTAATTTTATCCGTCATGTACGCGTGCGAAGGCGGGAGGGCTCGCTGTGTCTGCCGGGACGCGTGGTGGCCGTCGAGGCGCCCGGGGAGCCGCGCGGAGGCGGGCGGTGGTGGGCCGGTGGCACCCCTGCCCGCGGGGCTGTCCCCGCCGCCGCCCCGCAGCTCTGACGCCCTTCCACCGGGCCACAGCGCTGGCCGGGCCGGAGTGCGAATCGGGAAGGAAAGGACGGATGCGGAGGAGAAACACGATACGAGCGTTTAAAATACCCACGTCCTCCAGCCTCGTTTGTTCCGCTGGTTCTTGTTCGAAGCCGGGCATCGGCGCGCCAGGGGGCTCCGGGCTTTCTGCCCCCGGGGGGCGGGCGGCCATCTTCAGCCTGGCTCGGGGTGGGGGGGGCAGCGGGCCCCCTGGGCCGTCCGGCTGTCCGCAGACACCTGCGGGACGCCCGTCCGCTCCCTCCTGGGTGATACGGCCTTCGGGCCTCCAGACCTGCCTGGGCCGGCCGAGCCCTCCTGTGCCTCATCCAGCAGCCCCTCCGGGGGCCCTGGACACCCGGGCAGATGGCGCTGAGGGCGAGAGCCACCCCCAGCCGGGAGGGCTGGACCCGATAAGGGCCCGAGAGGCAGGCTCCTCTGATGTCCCCCCCACAATGGGCTCACACGCTCACCTGTGTACACACTCACACATGCAGGCACACACTCAACCTGTGTACACTCACATACAGGCACACACACACACAATCTGTGTACACACACACAGGCACACTAACATCCTGTGTGCACACTCACACACACAGGCACACACTCAACCTGTGTGCACACACACACATACAGGCACACACTCAACCTGTGTACACTCACAGGCATACACACACACAATCTGTGTACACATACAGGCACACTAACATCCTGTGTACACACTCACACATACAGGCACACACTCAACCTGTGTACACTCACAGGCATACACACACACAATCTGTGTACACACAGGCACACTAACATCCTGTGTGCACTCACAGGCACACACACACACAATCTGTGTACACACATGCAGGCACACTAACATCCTGTGTATATACACACATACAGGCACACACTCAACCTGTGTGCACTCACATACAGGCATACACACACAATCTGTGTACACACATACAGGCACACTAACATCCTGTGTATATACACACTCACAGGCACACACACACTCAATCTGTGTACACACAGGCACACTAACATCCTGTGTGCACACTCACACATGCAGGCACACTGATCCTGTGTGCGCACACACACATACAGGCACACACTCAACCTGTGTACACTCACATACAGACACACTAACATCCTGTGTGCACACACACACATACAGACACACTAACATCCTGTGTACACACTCACACATACAGGCACACTAACATCCTGTGTACACACACACACAGAGACACACTAACATCCTGTGTGCACACACACACATACAGGCACACTAACATCCTGTGTGCGCACACACACATACAGGCACACTAACATCCTGTGTGCACACACACACATACAGACACACTAACATCCTGTGTGCACACACACACAGGCACACTAACATCCTGTGTGCGCACACACATATACAGGCACACACTCAACCTGTGTACACTCACATACAGGCATACACACACACCATCTGTGTACACACATGCAGGCACACTGATCCTGTGTGCACACTCACACATACAGGCACACTAACATCCTGTGTGCACTCACAGGCACACACACACACAATCTGTGTACACACATGCAGGCACACTAACATCCTGTGTATATACACACATACAGGCACACACTCAACCTGTGTGCACTCACATACAGGCACACACACACAATCTGTGTACACACATACAGGCACACTAACATCCTGTGTATATACACACTCACAGGCACACACACACACAATCTGTGTACACACAGGCACACTAACATCCTGTGTGCACACTCACACATGCAGGCACACTGATCCTGTGTGCGCACACACACATACAGGCACACACTCAACCTGTGTACACTCACAGGCATACACACACACAATCTGTGTACACACATACAGGCACACTAACATCCTGTGTACACACTCACACATACAGGCACACTAACATCCTGTGTGCACACACACACATACAGACACACTAACATCCTGTGTGCACACACACACATACAGGCACACTAACATCCTGTGCGCGCACACACACAGGCACACTAACATCCTGTGTGCACACACACACATACAGACACACTAACATCCTGTGTATATACACACTCACAGGCACACACTCAACCTGTGTACACTCACATACAGGCATACACACACACAATCTGTGTACACACATACAGGCACACTAACATCCTGTGTGCACACACACACATACAGGCACACACTCAACCTGTGTACACTCACATACAGGCACACACACACACAATCTTTGTACACACAGGCACACTAACATCCTGTGTATATACACACACACAGGCACACACACAACCTGTGTACACCCACATACAGGCATACACACACTCAATCTGTGTACACTCACATACAGGTATACACACTCAACCTGTGTGCGCAGGCAGAAAGGGCAGGCATGGCCACGGGGCGGCCTGGGGAGAGGCCTGGGCACGGCGGAGGACACAGGTTGGAGTGGGCGCCGTGCTGGCAGCAGCCTTAGAGGGACAGGCCGTGGGGGCGGCCCG